TCAAAACAATTTACAGCTGCACTTGATCAATGAACTCTACAATCCCCATTTTAGCGCTCATGGAAAACTTTTAACTAACTAATTGGGTTTTGAATAACTTTGTGATCTGGGATTTTCTTCTGTCTCGAGGTTAGCACAACATCGAATTCCGATGCACTACGCGTGAATTTATCGTGCTTGCCTACCCTTTGAAATCTTCCAAACATGGCAATGTTCTAAAACTCAAGGACTATTTTTTTTATCGCATACGATTTTTAATCGGGACAGGAGCAGCCTAGTCTTTAGGCATTCTCTCTTGACCCGCTGTCCGCGCGTAGTCTGGGAAAGAATAGGCGAGTCTCTCACGGTGACGTCACAGCTCAGGGTAGAGTCCAGGATTGACCCAGCCGAGAACGCCTAGAGAGTAGGCTGGGTCAGGAAAATTTTTTTTTCTTTTTTGACTCTCTTAGTCTTGGTATGGTCAACTCTTGTCATAAAAAGGCTACATATATTCAGAAAAAATGATGACTGAAAAATTTTCTCCACGGCTTTGTTTTCGAACATTACCATATTTCGGATATTCCCTTGAGAGTTACAGTTCCGTTGCAGATTAATTAATGCCGATATCTAAATATATGTCCCCAAGGAGCTTATTAAAGCAGGTTTATACTGAGAGGGGAATAGGTTCACTTAGGCATTCTAGTGGTTACACCAACACCAAATTTTCGATTCATCACAGAATTTTTGCGCGCATGACAACGGAGACAACAACTCAAACAATAACATAAACAATTAAACACCTCCCGGTCCACATCTGTCCTCTGGTATTTGAAGACATCTGTTCTTGTGATATCCCCAGCCAACTAAGTATTCCCGCAAATATTTTGCCCTTTCCTTTTCTTTTGAATCTTTTCTTTCTTCTTTCCATACAGTATACTTGTATTGAACTCGGCGGGACACATATGAACATGGTACCACGAGCCTTGCTTGCACCAGGATAAAATCATCCTCTAAGTATCTATATTCCAAATTGCAGAATATTATCAGATTCAATAAATCTCCAAAGATCCATCTTAAGATGTACAGAGATAATAACAAAATCCATTCATAGATTACAAGCATTGGGGGTGTTAAGTGATTGTTACCTTTGCAAGATAATTTTAATTTTTGGCTGGCGGGCTTAGAGTGCGGGAGGCGGTGTGCGCACTGGGATCGTTACGCCTCATGGGCGGTACTGAAAATCTGATCATTGGGACAAGATGGCGAGAGGTGAACATCTCGCAGGAAGCGACTGTATAGACGAATATTCGTTAAATACACTGTAGAAATCAGCGATTTGCCTTTATTTTCTTCCAGAGACGTCCGTAAAAATAAAGGCTATCGAATTATCGGGGAAAAACAATGTCATTCCGTTAATGAGTGTGTTTTGTTCGAAAAAATCTTTCCTTATCTTTCCCATGCAGTCAGTAAATCGAAGAATTGCTGCTTTGTTCTATGGTTCAGTTGTGAAAGCACTTAAGGTAAGACCCGTGGTTTGCCGAAAAAAAGTGATGTCATCGTCAGATTAGTGCAACTAGAACTACGAGGTACTACGACGATTTCTTCATTATTAGCAAGACGAATTTAAGCTTAAGTTGCCTTGAAAACAGACTGGTATGGGCCAGGATGAAAAATTTTAACTTCCTTCTGACAAGATAGCCCTAAAACAGTTGCTAGACTATAAGACAACTTTAGCGCGGGTCAGCTTTACAGAGGCCCTGCCAGGCCGGGGGGGGGGGGGGGGGGGGGGCCCGGGGCCCCCC